AGCCCCCACGAATAGCTAAAGCAATTCTTGGGAAAAAGAAAATGGGAGGAATCAACCTCCCGAACTTCAAACTGTACTACAAAGCAGTAATAATTAAAACAGCATGGTACTGGAACAAAGGCAGAACTGCAGACCAATGGAACAGGGTTGAATACACTGACATCTCCCCTCAATCATATGCTCATCTAATCTTTGATAAAGGTGCAAGTAAAGTGAAGTGGAGTAAGGAAAGCCTCTTTAACAAATTGTGCTGGCATCACTGGATGGCTACATGCAAAAAAATGGGCTCAGAACTCTGCCTAACACCATGTACAAAAGTAAGATCAAAATGGATTAAAGACCTCAACATCAGACCAGAAACCATAAGGTACATTGAAGACAAAGTTGGCAAAAACCTCCGTGACATTGAAGCTAATGGTGTCTTCAAAGATGCCACGCCACTGGCCGAGCAAGTGAAAACAGAGATAGATAAATGGGACTATCTTAAACTAAGAAGCTTCTGCACCTCCAAAGAAACAGTGACCAAAATACAAAGACAGTCCACAGAATGGGAAAAGATATTCGCCGAATACACATCTGACAAGGGGTTGATATCCAGGATATACAAAATACTGGTTAAACTCCACAAGAAGAAAACATCCAACCCCATCCAAAAATGGGGCAATGAAATGAACAGAAACTTTCTCAAAGAAGAAATCCGAATGGCAAAAAAGCACATGAGAAAATGCTCTACATCATTAATCATCAGGGAGATGCAGATCAAAACCACAATGAGATACCATCTCACACCTCAGAGACTGGCCCACATTCAAAAGAACAGAAGCAACCGATGCTGGCGTGGATGTGGCGAGAAAGGGACACTCCTTCACTGTTGGTGGGAATGTCGACTGGTTCAGCCTTTCTGGAAAACAGTATGGACGATTCTCAAAAAATTAGAAATTGAGCTCCCATTTGACTCAGCATTACCACTCCAGGGAATATATCCCAGAGAGGCAAAAATGTATAGTCGAAGTGACATCTGCACTTGTTTGTTCATTGCAGCACTCTTTACAATAGCCAGAAACTGGAAGAAACCTGAATGCCCAAGCACAGATGACTGGTTAAAGAAACTTTGGTACATCTCCACAATCGAGAACTATGTAGCTGTTAGAAAAGAGTAAGTCATGAAATTCACATACAAGTGGTACAACATGGAAAGTATCATGCTAAGCGAAATGAGTCAGAAAGAGAGGGATAGACATAGAAAGATTGCATTCATCTGGGGGATATAAAGTAACAAAATATGAGATTAATACCCAAGAATAGCTGAGATCAGCACCAGGAGGATTATTCCATAGCTTAGTGGCCAGCCGGGCATTCTAGAGGAAAGGGCAGCTCAGATAGAGAAGGGAGCACCAAATAAAGGATGTTTGGAGGATCCTCCCAGGAGGGGAGATGCATGTCGAAAGTAGACTATGGACTGAACATGTTTGCCACTCAATGCCTCTTTTGCAGACCACAACACCCAAAAGGAGAGAGAGAACACAGGGGATTGCCCTGCCACAGAGACAGGAGGGATGGGGGGATGGGGGTGGGAGGGATATTATCCATGGTGGTGGAAAATGGGCACTGGTGGAGGGATGGGTATCTAATCATTGTATAATTGAAACCAAAGCACAAAAAATTGTAAATCTACAACTGTAAAAAAAAATAAAATAAAATAAAGGGAAAAAAAAACTTCAGGGCTAGAAAGATGGAGATGTTACTGGTGCCTGCTCAAGAAAATCGACTAACAACAGGATGATCGTAATCATGATCGAACAATCAGTGGTTAAAAAGAAGTGCTTACTTTTCACAGATGAAATCTAGGTAAATATAAAAAAATGTTTGTTTTTGTTTATCAGAACCCAGAAAACTAGACAAAGTAATAGTAACAGATCTAAATAGATTGAAAAAAAGAGGGTTGAAAAGGATGATAAGCAAGGACTAATATTAAAAGGCCTTACTAATGGAGTCCAGAAAGACAGCTCAGTGGGTAGCTTTGCCTTGCATGTGATCAACCCAAGTTTGATCCCCAGCACCTTATATGGTCCTCCAAACTCACCAAGAATTATCCCTGAGCACAGAACAGGCATAAGCTCTGAGCACACCTGAGTGTGGCCACTTACCAAAACCAAAATAAATAAAAGATCCTGGTACTAAGATATATGGGGGAAACACTGTCTTGTTAAACTTGTTTAACTTATTAAATAGGTGGAGTAATTTTATTAAATATCCTATCTCACAGTGATTCAATTAAAAAGTTTTTAAGAATTAATTAAATATTGGTTAATAGAAATTGTGATTAGTTAATGAAATTGTGATTTAATAACATGTATAACTAATGTTATTTATATATTAAAGAACAAGCAGTGATGGATCTGAGGTATGTCTATTTCTAGATTAATGTCTTTTAAGGAACAGCCTATGGTTTTCCTAAATAGAATGATCTGGGTGGAAAGTTTTATAATTATGAAAACCCAGTCTCAGTCAAAGGAACAAAATGGAGGAAGGGCTGGAAATTTGGGATCTAATGAGGTTCCTGGGGGGCTTCTCATACAAGATAAATTTAAGAAGAGAAGACCAAAAGAATAAGTGGTCCAAAGAGAGACATAAAAAAGCAAAATCAGAGACAACAGGAGGGAAATTTAACACTTATGCTATGGCACAAACAGTACTATAGTCAAACTGTAAAAACTGAATCTGATAATCCCATTAAAATAGTATAATTAGACAGTAAGACTTTTCAGATAAATGAACACACATATCAAATTAAATTACCTACAAGTTATGTGCTCTACATTGCACAGAACATTTCAAAGCCTATGAAAACGAGTCAAGCAACACCTAACTCATCACATCTAATTATACTAATAAAATGCTGTCAGTGTCTGCTAGGCCAATTATTTATATTTTTGTGTAATTTATGGTTTATTATTGTTGCAAGTAAATCATATTATCATCAGTCATGAAATCAAGATATATTTTGAAGAGATAGCTTTTGTTAGATATACATGGAAAGATATTTTAAGTAGACTTGAAATACTAGCTTTTTGCAGAATTATAACATTTTCCCTCTTATTTTCTCTATTTCCCCCCTATGATTTTAGTAATGGTAATTTGGTCTTCCTGTAAGTCTCCTGATATAAATATCTGGTTATCGACACTTTAAGAATGTAAAATATCATTTTTCTTTTTAGTTTTTCTTATAATTCCTAGCATCCTCACCTAGAATTCTTTCAAAGGAGTTCCTGCTTTGGGGGGTTGGCATAATAGTACAGCAGGATAGTACAGTGCTGGCAAGGCCCGGGTTCAATACCCAGCATCCTATATTGTCCCCTGAGCACTACCAGGAATAATTCCTGGATGCAAAGCCAAGGAATAATCTCTGAACATTCATGGAATATATCCCCTAAAGCAAAAATCAATAAATAAATAGCTTTTTTTGGGCTGGAGCGATAGCACAGCGGGTAGGGCGTTTGCCTTGCACGCAGCCAACATGACCGACCCAAGTTTGATTCCTCCGCCCCTCTTGGAGAGCCCGGCAAGCTACCGAGAGTATTCGATATGCCAGACACAGTAACAACGAAGTCTCCAATGGAGACGTTACTGGGCCCGCTCGAGCAAATCGATGATCAACGGGAGGGCCTTTACCTTTACCTTTACCTTTTTTTAAAAAAGAGTTCCTGTCTTTAAAATTGCCATGCCCTTACTCAATTAAGAGATTTGTGCTTTAATTCCATTGCAATAACAAGATATCCTCAATAATTTAACTTAAATTGAGATCACAGTCAAAGGGACAGAGGACTGAAGAGGAACTTTTATTTAATGTAACAATGTTGACCAATGCTGTACATTGTCATATATAACAGGCTGGAATGATAGCACAGTGGTAGGGCATTTGTCTTGCATGCAGCCGGTGCGGCCGACCCGGGTTCAATTCCTCTGTTCCTCTTGAAGCAAGTATACCGAGAGTATCTCACCCACATGGCAGAGCCTGGCAAGCTACCCGTGAAACATTTTATATGCCAACACAGTAACAAGTCTCACAACAGAGATATTACTGGGCCCGCTCGAGCAAATCGATGAACAACGGGAGGATAGTGCTACAGTGCTACAATAGGCTGTAATTTAACATGTGTAAATGAAATAAACTGAGCATTTATTATGCCCAAGATTGATAACATGGAGCTTAAGAAAAATGGCATGTATTTTGTGCATAGAGCAATTGTAATCAATAGGTGATGAACTGCCTTTCTGTTAACTCTCATTTCTAAAAAACACAGGAAAAGGTATGTTTTAACTGGAAGACATTACATAGTTGCAAGTTTAAGACACAAGTGAATGAAAATTTTGAAGATATCCTAAGCCATCTTCCCAATGAACAAGAAAAAGGCATTCTTGTTTTACACTCTAGGGATTTGTTTTACACTCTATGGATTTTCTTCTTCCCTCCTTTTCTACTTATGTACTCCAACCAATATTCTAGGTTTGTTTTTATAATTCCTGGCATAAAGCTCAGGCCCAAGGGTTCCTAATAAGGACAACTAATATTCCAATCTTAACACAAAGACCCTGGAAAGAATACTCTGAGCTTTTCTGACAAAAAGATGTAAAAAAGAAAACTGTATGAAGTACATCAGGAATATAGTTTGGCAGAATGTTTATTTGGTAAGCAGAGCTTGCCTGTTGCTTGGTGTTAATAAAGGGAAAGTCTGGTCAAATATGGTTCACTTGAACTGCTGTAAACTGAGAACCAACTAGGTATCTAATCTGTACAACATTCACCTTTGGGAAGCCGTAATGAGTAAGGGTCCCTGCAAGCAGCTCAATGGTCTATGTGTCAGATTCAGGTCAGTACAAGGCAACTCTTTCAGAACTAATTTCTCCAATATCCTTCAAGCTAACTTTGCACTGAAAAACTGAACTTTGCAGACAAATTCCTACTGGCTTGCACACATTTTACAATACAAAAGTCTCACCACTGAATCTTTCATCTTCTTTGGAAGAGGATCTGCAGCCAACTCTTCTATATTTTGATGTAAAAATTTAGGAAACAATTTGCATTTAATAAAGGACCTGAAAATTAAAAAAAAAACTTTTACCTTTTAAAATTTTGTACCTGTTACAATGTTTGAGATAAGCAATTTCCACATTGAACCTCCCGTTCACTTATGATAAATGCATGTGCTCCTTCTTAAATAATTCATGATTTTAACAAAAGAGGTGCCTATTGATGCGATCACAAAGATAAAGGTTGGATTTTCAAATTCCATACTAATAAAAACAGCCAAAAATGTCAGATGTTATTAGTATCCCTAACTGTCAACAGCTAACTAAGCTTACAGATTCTCTATTTTGTCAGTCCATTGGGGTTTTATATAGAAAAATTTTTAAAAAAACAATGGCAGCAAAGCTAAACATTCCAGCAAAATATATTTGACACAAAATGTTGTATAAACCGTATTTAACTTTGCCCTATTTTTCCATGTCTTTGTCTTGCTGTACATGACATCCTAAAATTATAACTTCTCTTACTCAAATCATGGTTAACTTAAGTGAAAATAATTTAAGTTTAGATAAATTACATGAAATGACTGATACCTGATTACAGTTTATTGATATCTGAAACTTTGTCATCATATAAAATGTTTCAGTTCCAAAGTTCATATTAATGAAAATTTAAAAGGGAAGACTGAAAATATAGTTTCCAAGTGACTAAAGATAATTATTAAATATATTTTAAAACTTCAGTGCATACTGTATTTTAAACCTAGAGTACTGTCCATATTTGGAATAAAGAGGAAAAACTCTGCTTTCAAAGGTGTTAACAGTCAAGTCTCCCAAGAGTAGTTGCCTAGATTAAAGGTAACAATTCCAGGGGATATGATACTGCCCAGCAGGTCAACCTGTACCTGCAGGGTAAGTGTATCAGCAGCCTGATAGTCCATTCAGGCTTCCTGATACCCTGAAATTGCTGCTGTACCCTTGGGACCAAGATTCCCTAAAAATTAAATGGCCAAAAGTTAGGTATGTGGGAGTCACGTCCACAGACCACTTCTGGCTCAGATATACAAGCTCATTTATTTGCTGTGCTTCAGAGACCCATAAATAAATCTCAAAAGAGATCAAAAGCAGGCCATGTTAGTGAATTACTGGCCATGATTCAGAAAATCATAAATGAATCTTGAAGGAGAGGAGCACACCACGGAGATGTCTACCCACCCTGTGCCAGGCTGATTTCACTGGGGCACCTCAGAGGCAGCAAGTGTGCTCCTCCACCTGCCCCAGATGAACTCTGGCAGTCATAAACCTCCAGAATCCAATCACTGCCAGCTCACAGGCAACCTCCACAGCCTGCCCAAGGAGAACGTATCCACTGAACGCATGAGAACGTATCTACTGAAAAGCCCAGGTATGTGGGACCAGCAACTGAAAACTCCAGACTTCATAGAGTCAGGAATGGATGAACTCTCCCATCTCCTCGCACTTCCAGTTTCCTGGAAGCCATGCCCCAAAACTGCCTCTGCTTACCTTTTAAGCACATTAAGGGCCATGATTCAGAGACACAAAAAAATCTCAGAAGAGAGCAGCATGCCACAGATACGCCTCCAGACCCCAAATATTTAAAACTTTTAGAATTTCAGGAGCAAGTGGCCACTTTTGTGGTCAATTGACACCTCATACTTTTCATGGCAAGAAATACAAAATAAAATATTTAGTAACTGCCTAAGGGGCAGGTTGGGGTGTTGGTGGGAAGATTCAAAGTAATAGTGGTGGGAAGATACAATGGTGGTGGCATTGGTGTTGAAATATTGAATGTAAACAATTTTTGTGAACAACTTTATGAAAACTTAAAAATTTTTTAAATTAAGAGAAAAAAAGTAAAGCAGAGTTCATGCCTTCTTCAATCAACTCAATCAGTGGCTAAATAAATGGCAGTACTTCTACATAAAAAGGTAACAATTGCAATTTATGAACCAAGTTTGCATACCTATTAGATATTCTCATAGAAAGGTGAAGGAGTCTCATCATTTAACGTATAATCAATGACAGTGCTCAGGTACCAATAGCCATCTCTTCCTGGTATTTCAAAAGCATCTGAGCAAAGGTTAAACATTCACTGGAAGTTAATCCTTCTAGTGAAAATTTATTTTTATTAATTTCTGGATAGTTCCATATATTTTCTCAACCTTATTCAGAGATCAGCTAGATTAATATCAAGAGTCCAAACCACAAGTTTTGAAGAGAGCAAGAAGACAGAACCACACATTATTGGTTCATACAATTATGTTTGTTAAAATCCATTTGTTACAAGTGTGTTTCTTGCAGCTTGTTTGTGAAACTCTGTGTGTGTTTCTGTTACTCACAGGAGCACTGAGGGATCACTGCTTTGCCTGCTCAGATGATAGGAAAGAGCAACCAGGAGGCCACAAAATGTTGAAAATAGCGCTGGGATGTGTTGGCTACTCCACGGCTCCTAAGGAAAAGACATCAGACAACCAAGTCACTATAAGGCAGATGTAGAATGAGAGGGTCACTTTCTATAAAATGAATAGGGGCTAGTGTTTTAAAACAAAGCAAAAAGAAATGACAAAATTGGGACCTTTGGGTGGAATTTGAAGTGATTATACTGAGTTAAATAAGTAAGGATGTAAAAAGCAATAGTCAGATGGTTTCACTCATGTGAGTAATAGAATTGGTAAAGCAAAAAAACTACAACAAACAAAACTAGCACTTAAAGTTGGTTAACACTATCATGGTTATCAGAGAGAATGAGGAGGAAGGTGGGAAAAATAAGAGCAGGGTCTATTTTAGGGGAAGGACAGCACTAAAACTTTGGTGGCAGGAATGGTTACAATTATACTCATTCTGAAATGTGAAAATAAATCCTTGAAATTCCATAATACTTAAGCCAAATAAGTCAAGATATTAAAACTTTTTTTTTTGCTTTTTGGGTCACTCCGGTGGTTCACAGGGGTTACTGGGGTTACTCCTTGCTCATGCAGGAACTACCCCTGGAGGTTCTCGGAGGACCATATGGGATGCTGGAAATCAAACCCGGGTCTGCTATGTGCAAAGCAAATGCCCTACTCACTGTGCTATCACTCCAGCCCCTATTAAAACTTTTTAAAGAAAGTAGTTATAGGTGAGTGATGCTTGCTCCGTCCCTCTACTTTCAAGTGCTTTTTGTCTATGATTGCATATGTGTGACTGTGAATAACATCTGATCTCTCCACTAAGATAGCCACAGACAAGACAGAATGACTCATCTACTTCATCTGAACTAATCACTTAACCAAATATGCAAGAAAAATACACTAGACTTCAGTTACTGCTATTAACTCATAAAATAATACCTTGAATACATAAATGGAATGTACCGTTTTATTCAAGTATTGGTAAGTACCCAGAAGGTAGTGCCGAATGGTAGGTAGTTCAAGGAGTAAGTGCTATTGTAGGACTATCAGCTTCAATTCCACCTCTGATTATTTGCTCAAAAATAGTGACTAAGATATTCAGATTCAGTTTCCTTATCTATGATAATTTAACAATGAATACACCACATGGTTCTTGTAAATATTACTTAAAGTAGCACTGTAGCACTATCCTGTAACACTGTCCTCCCCATTGTTCATCGATTTGCACTAGCGGCCCCGGTGACATCTCCATTGTGAGACTTGTTGTTACTGCTTTTGGCACATCAAATACGTCATGGGTAGCTTGCCAGGCTTTGCCGTATGAGCAAGATATTCTTGGTAGCTTGCCGGGGTCTCTGAGAAGGGTGGAGGAATCAAACCCAGGACAACTGGGTTGGCCGCATGCAAGGCAAACACCCTACCCGCGGTGCTATTGCTCCAGCCTTATTACTACATGCAAAGCAGTGGCAAGTGCAAAATAATAAATGTTTGCTATTACTATGATCGAACCTGTGCGGGGAAACCCCATTGGATTTCGAGTCCAACACCTTAACCACTGTAGGGCTGCTATAGCAAAATATGATGCAGTGGAAGGCGTATAGATAGCATATATTCATTATTGCTCAAGGTTTGGGAAACTTGAAACTTTGATATGATGGCACGGGATGACGAATAGTGAGAATCTGAGTGCTGGCTTACAAGGAGCCTTCTCATTGGGTTTCCATATGATCAGAGGGGCAAGGGAATATTTTTTATGCTTCTTTTATAAGGACACTAAACCTCAATCATGAGAGTGAAACCCTAAAGATCCCATCACATTACAACTCCTAATACCATCACTTTGGGTTTAGAATTTCAGGATCCGAGTCACAAGATGACAACACTCACATTATCGCAGATACATAAGAACACTGATAATGCTGAAGTCAAATTTCTTTGAATATTAGATCTGACATCAAGTATGGTTCATCTCTAGATACCAAAACAAATGAAAACCCATCAATGATTACTATAAAAGGTAAAAGGTAAAGGCCCTCCCGTTGATCGTCGATTTGCTTGAGCGGGCCCAGTAACGTTTCCGTTGGAGACTTTGTTGTTACTGTGTCTGGCATATCGAATACTCTCGGTAGCTTGCCGGGCTCTCTGAGAGGGGCGGAGGAATCGAACTCGGGTCGACCATGTTGGCCGCGTGTAAGGCGAACGCCCTACCCGCTGTGCTATCGCTCCAGCCCCTTTTACTGTGTCTGGCATATCGAATACTCTCGGTAGCTTGCCGGGCTCTCCGAGAGGGGCGGAGGAATCGAACTCGGGTCGGCCATGTTGGCCGCTTGTAAGGCGAACGCCCTACCCGCTGTGCTATCGCTCCAGCCCTATTACTATAGATTTTTAAAAATCTTTTTTATTTATATAATACGTGCAGAAGGGAAACAAGGATATATGTTAATTTTTATTATTTATTTGTTTGGAGGACACAGCCAGTATTGCAGGCCCAGAGATGAGGAACTCCTATAGAAAATTTGAAATTAATCTTCTCATACTGTGGCACTATTATATATATATGTATATATATGCTATATACATATACTATATATACTATATAGATGTGGTTTTATATCTATCTATATCTGCATCTATATAGCTGCATATACCTTTATATATATGTACATATGTAGGATAATATTGTTTTGTCCTTCCTGTATAGCCTCAGGTAGCTTAGGTTTATTTGGTTACTCCCGTCACAGTGCTCCCATTCCTCTGTGTTTACTTGTAACTTCTTTCTTTGTGCTCTGTTGACTCGTAAATATTTTTTTTCCTTCTCCCTAAGTCCTTTGCATAGTTTATTCAGAGAAATGTCCTTTTTTATGGGCACAGGAAGACTATACTATGTTTTTGTAACACGGGAGTCATTTGACTCTAAATGATGTTTTCCTCCTGTGCCACGCCGGCTACGGCGTCGCCCACGTAGCAACATGCTGCAAGGGGGCTCAGGCAAGGGCCTGGGTCCCTGGGAATGGGAGGTTCGCGGCCCACGGGTCTATGCCTCCGGTAGCCCCCTCTTCTGTTTTTGAAAGCGCCTCTGGCGTGCAGTCCTCCCTTACCATTCTGTGGGAATAGGAGCCTGCCTGTTAGCTATTCCTGATGATTAATCACATAGCTTGGATTAAGATGTTTTGATTAACCTCTAGTCTTTGAATTATGTTTGCTAGTAAAATAGAGTTAATATTAGTTTCTGTAAAGTCCTGATTTTTTTAGGTTATGGGTAGGCGTTTTTAGGGAAGTAAAAACTTAAATGTCAGTGAAAGTAGACAATAGAGGAATAGTAAGGAACATAATATTTCACCCAGATATTTTATTGGGACAAGCGGATGTTCTGTCCTAATCTTAAAGCGGAACGTGTACGTGCCCCTTGATGTTTTGGGAACATGACCCATGGTCTGATGTAATGTGTGCCTTGCCACGTTGTTTCTGTAACTGTATAAAAAGAAGAACTCTGGATGCAATAAACCGCAGCAGCACTCAGCCTCTCTTGTGTTGGTGTCTGTCTGTCCAACGCGCCGAATCTCCTGCTTTCCTGTGCACCTTCGCCTGGTCTCCCCTCAGCCTGGTGGTCTTCGACCGAGCCAGTCTGCAGCACTCCTGGGCATCTGTTCTCTCGACCTAAGCCTCAGCCACCCTTACTTTCTTGTACCCTCAAAAGCAGGATCCCGACAAGGGACTAGATGGAACCAAGGCAAGTGGTAAACTATGTGCTACCCGGCTTTGAAATGAGCCTGGTCAAAGTGCCATAATGCTTAACTTATTATAAGTTAAGAGCTTGGTCATGGACAAATGCTGTCATGATCCAAAAAGTAATAACTAGATTTGGAACCTGCTAGGGTTAGGAAAGATTAATCTGGTCTGAGCTCGTTAGTCTGAGTCTGTGGCAAGATGTTCCCAAGAGAGATGCCCTACAAGCCTCAATGTATCTTTACTGTATCCATACAAAAATAACTAGTATTAAGATGTTGATATAGTTATTGGACTGAGGAAAGGGGAAAAACACCCTAGGAGGTATTTTTCCTTTGGGCAGTCAGGAAGGGCTTTGGAATAACCCCTAGGTGGTGTTTCTGCCTTTGAGCCTGATGGGCAGTCAGGAAGGGCTTTCTTATGTTGATTTTGTTACCAGACCGGTGTAGCATAGGGCTGGAGGGCAAGGTGAAGAGACAAATTGGGGTGGAGAGTCAAATGGGGTAGAGGGCAGAATCCTGAGAGCTGGGACGGAGTAATGAGGGGCTAGGAAGGGAGAGCAGGAGAGATGAGAGAGCAGTGAGGCAAGATGGAGTGTGGAGAGACTACCAAGGGGACAGAGGGAGAAGGATGTAGAAGAATACAGGAACTGAAGAGAGAGAACCCAGGCTGTGAGATGGAGTGGAGAGATGAGTGGGAGAGACTGGAGGAAACGGGAATGGGGAGTAGTGTGACACTACAAAGGGAGGCTCAGAGAGACTGGAGCAGGCACATAGAGGTAAAATGGAATAAAAGGCATCTGACCAACCAACTGGCTTGGTCCTCATTTCCTCCTCCATCTGCCCCATGGCCCCGACCCCAAAGGGTGAGCGAGCGGCCCAGCCCCTGTCCCCCAAACTCAGGTGGTGAGGGGGAGAGCCATCCGACTCCTCCCTTGCTGCCCCCCGAAGAGTTTACACATATGTACATATACATTTCTCATTAATCAACGAATTAATCTTTTTGTGCAGAGTCAAAATTGAAAAATCCATGCAATCTGCAGAAAACATTATTTTGGCTTTAAAAGGGATATCATAGCTTTGATATCAAGTCAGCATCGTTATTGACCTAGTGTGAAGAGAGGAAGAATTGACAAGATCTACCCATAGTAGCAAGACAGGATGAATTCCTCCAAGAGGAATACACTCCACTGCCTACATGTTTGTATATCTAGATGAAAAATATATGTAGGCATCTCACTGCTTTACATAAAGGCGGCAGTTAGTGTATTTTAAACAATGATTATAAATTAAAAGTTCTCAGATTCACGAATTATTTTATTGATTTTATCCTC